GAGAATTTTTACTACCTGCTTACAGAAATCAGGTCTCTACAGATCTACCACATAGTTTCAGTTTAACAGGCTTCGATACCGCTAGTCGGAAGAGTAATTCAATTTACATATATGAAACAATGTTTAGGTCTACCAAATAGGTTTTTGCTGAGTTAGAGGATTATTATTCTTGATTGGTGTCCGTTTTGCTCGTATCATTTTCTCTCATTGTTTTGTTGAGTAGTTTGTATAGAAAGCATTCTCTTGTGTAGAGCATAATGCAACACTTGTAAATTTGTTTTGACTCTTTATTTTTTATTTTGTTCAATTGTTGGGCAATCCATTGTGATTCGCAATGTTTGCCTAGGTTTCTCCCTTCGATAATTATTCCGTTCGCTGCTTGGTTCACTATTTCAGCTCTAGATAGCGTTTTAGCTTTTATAGTCCACTGTTTAATGAAATTCAAGGCTGTTTCACCAAAATCGTCGTTGAACGGCTTATTCAGTGGTCGTGCAAGAAAAAATCTTTCTTCTCTTAAGCCTTTGTTTTCATTTCTATTAATCAAAACTCGTTTTATTGGCCGTTGTTTATTTTTGTCGTGTTTACTGATTTGAATGGAATCGTTTAGATTGATCCAATAATTATGCAATTCAGCCAGTTTTATTTTCTTGTGTTCCTTAAAGGCTTTTTCAATAATTTCCGATTCGATATCAGAATACTTTGCCCATTCTTCTGTTTCATTCACCGACCATGGATCGAAATTGGACGCCCAATACCATTGAGCTTACACTTGATCAACTTGTTCCTTCTCTTGGTTTGACCCCATTGTTTAGAGCGTTTTTAACTGAGTGTTGTAAGATATGCTTATGGAACTAAAGAAGACATTCGAAAAGTAACGAGAATCTTATGTAATTAAAGAAATACTTGTTCTGGTTTTAAAATATCTGAGTGATTATGTTTACATTTTATTTCCAGTCCGAATTTCACCTATGTTTCTTAGTACCAAAAGAAATCTTGATACTTTATAATATAAAAGTTACAAATATGTATTTTCAGTACTTCCTTAGTCGACTTTCAAGCTTCGTGAAGCGCAGTTGATATACCAGTTAATTATTGTCTCGTTATCTTATAAGTCGCGTTTTTATCCTCCAACATACCCTGAAAATTTGCCAGTTTGTAGAGGACACCTTCAAGGGTATACGTGTGCAATAACTCACGAGTTGGATAAGTTTTGACGGAGAGATGAAATTTATAAAAAACAAATCGATTATTTTGCACCTGGTGCAAAAAAGTATTTCTTGCTCAAACTATTTCGTACTCGTCAGTGGATTCACGATTCTAGCCATAAACATACCTGATTGATACTTGTTCTGATTGTCAGTGAAGAAATATTTAGATAGTCGTGGCGGCAGCATAGATGAATATGCTCTTGAACAAATATCATTAAGAAAGCAACAAAATACTTCCCAATTCCCCGTTTCGAAAATATTTGAAATGTAAAGGGTCGAGTTATGTATGTTTAATTCTTGTCAATAAAGCATAATAGGAGGTAGTAGGGATGGTGGCAGTTAGCACCTTTGAAAGATAGAAACACTAGAGAGTTAACTAGATAGAAACACTAGATAGAAACACTAGAGAGTTAACTAGATAGAAACACTAGATAGAAACACTAGAGAGTTAACTAGATAGAAACACTAGATAGAAACACTAGAGAGTTAACTAGATAGAAACACTAGATAGAAACACTAGAGAGTTAACTAGATAGAAACACTAGATAGAAACACTAGAGAGTTAACTAGATAGAAACACTAGATAGAAACACTAGAGAGTTAACTAGATAGAAACACNAGAGAGTTAAGAGAAAGTCAGATACGTACGAAACTTTGGGCAGATATCCAGACGGTATTTGCAGTTTATATGCAGAGCATGAGTAATGCCGTCCCCATTCCTATCTCCTATTATCGTATATTGAGAAGAATTAAGCTTACATTACTTACATCCTTTACACCACTCTTTCTCATCGTTTTGATACTCTGGTTTGATGGGTTAGAGACAGAAGTTTCCACGTTCTGGGTGTCATGTTACTCCTAGCTTTAGTGATGAATAAGCTTTAAGAGGTTGTTTATTTAATACAAATGCATTATTTACAATAAGTGTTATACTAATGAACATGAATTTCCATTGAAACAGGATGTACCTGATGGTTGAACCCGTCGTGTAGCTTGCAATCCACCCAGTGGTTTTAATGTGCCGTTTGGATTACCTGTGGTTAGTACTTTATCAGAATGTTCAATGAGTGTTCTTGAAAAACGAAAAAATGTCTCTTGTATATTATCATTCGTTTTTGAACTTGTTTCAATATATTGAATGCCTTTTGACTGTGCGTACTGTGTGGCTTGTTGATACGAAATCGTTCGTTTTGTTTGTAAATCAGATTTTGTTCCAACCAGATAGATGGGTGGATTTGTTGAACAATAGCGTTGTATTTCACTGATCCATTCCTCGACATTACGAAAACTTTCGAGATCGGTAATATCAAAACAGACAATCACACCATGTGCACCACGATAAAAACTACTAACAACACATTTGAAACGATCTTGTCCCTAAATTGGTCAAATAGAGTACTTGAAATATGATGGCATGAACAATATGTTATAGTTACGAATAACATACAGCTGTATCCCACACTTGAAGTTTGACATCTTTTGAGTCAATATCAATTGTTCGAATTTGGAAATCAACACCAATTGTAGCCACATAATCTGTTGAATAATAATCATTGGCAAATCGTTGAAGTACGGCCGTTTTACCTAAAAAACGACACATATGACTAGACGGAGTAGTTGATTTAATCTCAAACTACTTATTACCTACCAACCCCACTGTCCCCGATAATTAGAATCTTGAATAAATAATCATATTCTTTTTCAAATGGTATCGTAGACATAATTTTCCTTCAATACTTCCTGCTCTGAATGATTTCAAAATGAACTTAAACGACATGTTTATATAGTTTTATACAGACATATACACGTAGTAAAAGAAAGCCAGCGTGGCATATTTACGTTCACTATCGAATGTGTGACTAATACGCTTAGTCACGAAAATTACCTTTACTTTTTTACCTTACTGAAATCCCAAAATTTTCCAAAGTTTCAACGACGCTCATATTCTGCCAAAATACTTGTCTATATATATATTACATTCATACCGATAGCACAAATTAGCACAAATGCTCCTAGAGATGACAGGAGGTTTCCCCAAAACCTTGGTTTTCCAGGCAAAAATTCATATTTTCTTAGTCTACCAGAATATTGCCGTGAATGGAGCTGGTAGTTCCTCAATGAACGAGATAATCAAATCCTTATCACGTGATCAAACGAATGATTTTCCGTTACTTGTTCGTTATTCACTAGTTGATAATGATGTTTGTAATGGTAATCAGGATACCATTGATCATATGACAACATCCGATGAAATGAAGGCTAATGTATTAAAAACATTGGCGAATTCGGATACGAAACTTCCCAAAGGATCGCATGTATTAACAACAGATTAGTCTATTCTTGTTATTCTATGCCATAGAATGTTTTCGATTTTAGGACTCGCAAATGGTAGTTTCCTTTATCAATCGTTACAGGATAGAATTCATCCATTTGGTCGTGTTGGCTATCCAGTTACTTATCGCGAAATCTATGAATATTTATCGTGTCTAGAAATATCACCGTGCAACGATTGGTTATCGTCCAACAGTACACTAAGAGACTTGACAACTCAGCGAGCAGTTGAATTATCAGAAGCTGTCAAAGAGGCTACCATGACTTACAGAGCACAAAACTTTGATACTGATTATATGGATTTTCCATTTCAAGTGATATTCGATGAATGGAAAAGTCAAGGTGGTGAATCGTGGCAATTGATTGAAACTGTCGACGGATTTCATATCAATCAATATGGTCATGCAACTGTTTCAGATGTCTTTTGAAACTGAATAAATGCTGTACTACCACAATGGTTATCAAAACAAAACCCACATAATCAACAGATTGAAATCGTATTTAAAGATCAAGACGGTTACAACTAAAACTATTAGTATCAATTTTTACGACAAACTACATATTTTGTTAAAACCCTCTGAAAAATTGTCGCGATTAGTTTAGAAAAAAATTGTTCATCATTAACTAATGGAAAGTATAACATAGTAAAGCACGAATCCGTGAGCCTCGTTTAGGTGCTAACAGATTCTTCTGAAATACAACCAAATATTTCGAAAAACTTTGAATTAATACAAAAATCTAGGGAAAAAAGTACTCATCCATATCAATCAGCACTGTCTTATCACTAAGTGCTGCTTTTCTCTCCTTGATAAAACTGTGAGATGTACTACAACAAATTAGTATTTATCTCATAGCTATTATCTTATAAAAATTCAACAGAAGGTCTTTACTTAGTTGTGAGAGTCTAAGGAGCCAAGAATGCTATACTAGTTAGAGTTGTAGGAGGTAATTATGATCAGCACTCGAAATTTTTGAAGTGTTATGGGCGTAATTAAGCCCTTTTTGAGTCATAATTACTCCATTTATATGGTAATTACGATAGTCGATGTGTAGTCGCTAATAGATGGTTAGCGCTGATGAAATGAATTTCAAGATTAGGAGATAGCGCGAATCTGATCAATCTGCCTACATAATACCGACTCCAGGAAACATTTTTAGTACACGTAAGATGTTACATGTAAAAAGCAGAATAACCAAAATAGCCGCAATTTGCAGATATTAAAACTATTGTTTCATTAGAATAAGTATTAATCTACTGTGTTTGTACACGCATTAATACTAACGGACAGATATAGTTACTTGCATTTCTCTCTACCAGAGTTGGATTACTCGACTTTCAACTCTCACTCTATCCTTAAAATCTCTACTTCAATTTCGCTTAGAAATCTTTCTACCGTCATAAATGTTGTTTTTAACCTTTATTGTGTGCTATCACATATTTCGATATATTAAGAAAAAATAATTATTGAAGATGACCATTTTTCATGCAAAGTTCTGGAAAACGGTAAACTAAACTCTTAGCAGTAAAAAAGCCAACGCACAGTTAAAGCTGCCAATATCCTTCGTCAAATAACGAACGCATTAAAACTGCGACAAGAGACTAAACTAAAAAATTAATATAATTTTAGCAGTGTAATAAAACTATAACAAATATTCAGTAATACTTTTGCCATCTGTTAATCAAACGTCAGTAATGTTAATTTAACTATGATTTTTGTTTGTAAAAATCAACAAAAGCTAATGCGCCATGTCTCGAAAACATACTAAATCCTCCGAATTGCAAAAGAAACTATTGTAAGGATTCCGATTTCGCTCGTATAATGAGATGTCACATATGAAATTGCTGAACCATGTAAGAAAAATACTTATATTTTGAAGAAAATACAGTAGTTACGTAATATAAGACTATAAAAATATATAAAAATGAAAAAACTCATTTACTTAGTAATGACAAAAAAGCACATTCTTTCAATTGTGCTAAATTGACTACGATAACGGTATTGAGCAAATATATCCGACAACAAATTTGGCAATAACGATAAACAGCAACAACTACAAACATACAAAAATGGTATTTTGTACGTTGACCATTGTTATCAGCTATATCGTCGTCCGTACTAATTCGACCTCACTATAGCACATTACTCTCTTCGATAGCTTCACTCTGCGGCATATCCTTTCGTATATGATCTGCCAAATATTGTTGATAATTGGTTATCCTTGCTGTAATGGTTGTTCTCTTATTCTTTCATAAAACAGCATATAAGCATTAGAAAAAAACACTTCTAAAGAAGAACATTCTCGTATTGCATCGTCTGATATCAATAGCCATGTTGTATCTGAATCTAATTTTCGACGATAAACAATAAAATGGCCTGTTAAAAATGAATTCGACTGTAACAATGGAACTTCCTGTGAACAAAAAGAATCTTACCAGCATTTGCGATACCTCCAATATGTACAATCACTGAACTCAAACGATAACGTCTTTCAGATAGTCTAAAAAAAGAATAAATAGAAAAAAGTTGAGATGTGAAAATGGAAATTGATACGAGACTCTCCGTACATCATTTTTGATGTTGTTAATGATTTTGTTCTTGTTGGAAACATACGAGATAAAGCAACAAAATTATCCATTGAAAGTATGTCAGGAAATGTAACATGTACCATATCTTTTGTTGATGAAGCTTCATATTGTGACCATATTGTTCTCACAATATGAATACAAAGTATTTCTGGCAGCTAAATAATGAAAAAAAACTTAAAATGCTTTTGTCGTTTAAAGTCAAAGTAATACCCTTGTAAATGTTGTGACTTTTTTAAATGGTTTTTTCTCTAACGAATGACATTTACTACATTTTAGATCATGGATCATTTCTGATTTCAAATAATTGCCAATTAGTTCTTCTAATGTGAATGCTTTCTGACCACCAAACAGCTATCGAAGAAAGAATAAGTGTTTGTTTGTTCATTATTTCGACAAATGATCGACTACACAATTACCTGAATGCGTCTTTCAGGTATTGTCAACGATAATATTTCGAATAATGAAACAGTAATCGGATTCTGAATAAAAAGAAAAAATTTATAAGCAAACTCTACTTTAGAAGGTACTCTATAAAACGAGATTGAATTCTATTAGAATTTACTTTGTGACTACATTGTGTGCATTGTAATTGAGTGGCTTGTAAACCCTGGAATGGATGCGGTGCCACTAACGGATGAATATTCGATAATGTTCCATTGGTACCGGTAGAACCACGATTCGTGTCATCTTCTTTTTCTTCCTTATCAAATGATGTAAGCAAATTTGTTTGTTGTTCCGATGAATAACATTGTGTGAGCGACGTTAACAGATATAGAAGAAATTCATGACTATCTTGTTGTTCAAATGTGCGAAACCATTGCGGTTGTCTAAGACTTTCAATGACACTGGCAACTGTTTGACTTGACATAGATGACGATGGTTGCTCTGACATAAAACGATGATCTTTACCGTTGATTGAATACATGAGATCGAGAAGATTTTCTGCCAGAGGCGTTACTTTTGAACTAACTTGATTTTCTAACCATGTAATAAATTTAGATGACGCTGACAAACATTGAAGAATTGCATTGGCAAAACAATTATTGCCATAGTTGATTAAACCTGTTGGGTGTCCTAACATAAAATAGGAGTAGAACTAATTAAAAAACATTTGAAAATTATCGTATTGTACCTTTTTTACGCCTTGTTTTTGTTTCTGGTCCAAATAGAACATACATACTAATAGCAGTCAAAACGCTGGCTCCAAGCACTAGTGACGGCGGCAAATTCAGAGGAAATAGCGGCATCGTTATCCAGAAAATGATATCTAGAAATAAATAAACATCTAGGTCATAGTACCGTTGACAGAATCAAGAGCTTTTCTGAGATGAATATTCATAGCAGTTCTATATTCGATTTACAAATACTTATTTCCAACAAAGTTTCAGAACTTTTCCAAATTTCAGAACTGAATTCGTTGTGACTGTTTTCCTTATTAAAAATACTAAAGAAATTGTTTTTGATTGTATACTTTTAACTATAAATATTCCATTCTTAAGAAACAGACTGGAAAAATCAATTCTGCTTGACAATTCTTCTAAGTTTCTATTAGCGCATTCTTGCGAGAATGCAAAGACGAAGACAACAGAGCAAGTAACATCTTTATCAACTTTTATATTGTATTTAAGTTTTAAATTTTAAAGCAAATTTCGACTTCCAAAGGTATTTATACTTATAAAAGTCTTTTAAATTTGATTGTCATCGACTCTCTCATAAGAAAATCTTAAATCTATCGCTTCCATTTCTTTCTTTTCCTCTGGACATTTTTCTTATTTACGATAAATATTCAATAAATCATCCAACCGCTATGCACAGCTAAAAGAAGTAACGATTTCGAACAAAGTTTATCGCAAACGAATTTTTCTTTTTACGGTTTACTTTGTGAGATTTGTTGGAGCTCTCCTCTTGATCTCATACTTTGATTCAAAAGTTCATAACATCTTATTTTTAAGATGTTCTTAGCGTATTACTAATAAATAAGTTGGTCGTCCGTTTTCAAAAACATATGGCATTGTTTACATTATAGTCTAACGCTTTTTTCTTCGCAACAACCCTGAAATAACATATTTTAATTAGTTCCTTCCGTCAAATACATAGGGACATAGATGCCACGACAGAACAGTTCTATAGCTTCGATCGTCTCTTCAGCTCAAACATATGTCTGAACACTGTCCTTGTTCTTCGGATGATAATGATTTCTTTGTGGATTGATTTCGGTTTATGTACAGATCTACAGTTCAGTTTGATCAACGTGATGGAACATTATATTACAAGTTTTTGACTTTCACTCCATCTATCTCCATAACTACGCAACAAATAAGGCTGAAATTTTTATCGTTGTATATCCCTATGAAGTTCTATTATCAAGAATTGTTGAGCTTTTTTAATTTTGCTGTCAGAAGAATACGATGGTGAGATGAGATTGTACACGGATATTTAAAAGAGGAATCACGACAAGATCCTTTACACGGCCCGAAGATTTGTACTGCAAACGAGATACGTGTCTGTTTCCTTGTTATGATGACGTGCTACATTTTTTTGGCCACTAAGATAGCACTGATTTCCGCATGGATCGATGTATCGATCAGTATACTGAACAGATCAGATGACATCAGTATCACTAACACAGGCTGAAGCTAATATTGAATAATACGTATTATTCAATGTCGTTTAAAAATCGGCGATTATCGCGTTTTTCGAAAAAGTCGCCGTTTAGCCGCGATAAGTTGGCGACTTCTGAGCAGATCGCGAATAAGCGTCATCTTTTTCTGGAAATGCGATTAATC